ACCGATGGTTGGCCACTGGGTCTCAGGGGACTTCTACACGCAGTGGAACAGTCTCAGGGGACTGTCCCTGTCCCCTGGGAGTTCTCACACAGCTCATGCCCAGCATCCTCACCCCCTTCACCCACAGTCGTGCTGGGGGGTGGTGGGAAGCTGCTGACCTCCCACAGCCCCTGGGTAGATTCAGGTGAGTTGGGCAGGACGGAGGGGACACGGGGGCTCCATACAGCCCACACCACGAGGATGTTGCAGATGCCCAGTTAGAGCTGTGGGTTGGACCTCGGAGTCTCACAGTGGCTCTGGAGACCTTTGAAGGACTCAGAAGCACGTGTAGGACAGACCGAAAGCCCTTGGGCACAGATACCAGATCGGGTGGTCAGTTATGGAGCTGTGACTATGCCTAAACCCCTTACTTCAAATAACCAAACCCTTCCCTTGACGGTCCAGGAGCTCCCTGCTGTGTCTCAGATGTCTGCCCCCTGCACCCCTGCTCTCCCCACTCCAAAATCCCCTCCATCACTCAGGATTTGTGCAGGTGGGTTCCCATTGCCCGAGCCACGTCCTGGTCGGTCTGTGCAGAGCACAGCTCTGGGTGGACAGCCCCCGTCGGTGGCAAAAGCCAGCAGGCAGAAATGGCTCTGCCGGGGAGGAGTGGTGGAGAGGAGCCACGAGAAGACCCCTGGGCTCCAGTGGGCTCCAGGTTGCATGCAGTAGTTACCCCACGAGGCTGAAATCATTCCTGGGGTGATTAACTTCAGCTGGTCCAGCTGTCAGCAGACGCCTGCTTCTCGGTGCAGGAGAGCTGTGCACCAGTGCTCCCCGAGAACAGACGTCCCCCCCCTCTGCTGGGTGCCCACATCCCTGCTGCCACCAAACAGCACCCAGAGCTGGCAGCCCCTTGGGTGCTGGCCCCCCTGTGCCCTGGGGTCACAGCCTGTTTTGGTGCCCTCTCCAACCCCCGACACCCGATCAGCACCCGCTGATTTCCCACCCCAAAACAAGCTGTGGGGCTTCAGGGGCAGGAGCCGAGAGCTGTCGAGCCCCCCACTCACCGGGGGGAGAAGCAGAGCCCGGCACCCCCAGCTCCCACCCAGCCACCCCGGGGCCTGCCCGGTGCAGGGCTCAGCCACGCGGCACAGCCCGGCCACGGCCGCTGCAGCGGGCTGCGAGCTGCCGGGATTCCAGGCAAGAAGTTCCCGCTCTGCTTTGCCTTTTAAGGAAGCATCTGAGTGGGTTTGAGGGTTGCAAATGCTAACAAGCAATGGCAATGCTCATTTTAGTCTATTTAGAGGAAACGGGGAGGCATTTCAGTTCATCAAAACACTGGTGATTAATCAGCCAAGTACCAGGCTGTTTTCATTAGGCTTATTTTTAAAGGTCTGACACGCAGTGTAAAAATATTCCCCTAATAATCGCGCTCGCAGCAGAGGGAATGGCACGGGAGCGGGTGCCGTGGTGCCTGTTTCTAGGTGCCCAAGGTAAATATGTCAGCGCTGGGGAGAGGAGCGGGCAGCAGGGCTGGAGATGGCCATGGAGAGGCTGTGGGGTGGCCGCGCTGCTGGAGAAGGTGCAGAGAGGAGCAGGGGACACGCTTGTTCCCCCCACCCACCCCCTCCTGCACCATCCTGCCACCGAACCCCATGGCTGGGGTCCCCGATGTCCCCTCCGTGTCCCCCCAGCCCAAGGTGGGCCCTGGCGGAGCTTTTCCCTGCAGGCACGGGGCTCTTTCTGCTGGAGCTCGCAGCTCTGACAGCGCACCCAACGTGGGCGCGCAAACGCTGCCCGCACCAGCAGCAGCGCCTGGGGTGGTCGTTGCATGCCAGTCCCTTCCCTTTTTGCTCTGGATGTGTGGCAGCATGTCAGGGGATGGTAGCTTTAATTAGAACAGTGCTAATGATGTGATAAAAAGATACACTTGCTGCAGCCACTTTGCCTAGCAGGGATTTGCTGTTCATCTTATTTTGCTCTGGTTTTGTCTTGTTTGCAGAAATCCGTTGCCTCCTCTGCGTATGGGAGGTGTTGCAGCTCCTTCTTGCCAGGTTTTTCCTCCCTCTCTCCAGGATCTGCTCATTCCTGGCCAAAGCCTTTGCTCTGCTTGGTCTTGGAGCTTAGGGGAGCCCCAGGCCCCCATCACCAAGTGAGCTTGGGCCAGGAAGGAGAAGGCTTTTGGAGCACTCGGTGTGCAGGAGCTGCGGCCTGTGGGTCCGGGAGAGCTCAGAGGGCTGCAGAGCCCGGGGGGCTGCAGGGACGAGCAGGAAACCTCCAGCCTGGGACATCCCCAGACACCTTTGAAGGGCACCGTTGGGCAATGCTGTGCAAGGCAGCGAGCCCCCATCCTGTGCACCTCCCGCCAGGGACCTGGCTCCCCTTCACCAAGGTGCTTCGGGATGTCACCGAGCATCCCTGCACCATCCCGGCCCCAGGAGCAGGGCACACCTGGGTCAGAGGGGCCACCAGCTCCGTGCTGGAGGTGGTGGCACTGCCTGCTCCCTGCAGACCCCAGGACAGGGAGGTGCTGGGATCAGGACATCCCCAGAATGGGGTCTGTCCCCGCTCCTGGGGGTCCACAGCCCAGCAGTGCCGCAGGGGCAGCTCTGTGGGGTCTGGTGCCTCTCTGCTGTCTGTTCAGGTCCGTGCCAGGGAGCCAAGAAATTTCTTAACTAAACAAACAACTCTCGTCCCAGATGGCATCTGTGCACACGCCAGGTACAAGCTGTCCCCACAGCTGCCCTGCTGGCGGCTGGGCCAGTTCTTTCCACCAAGCTGCCATCCCAGAGGGCTGGCATGGGGCTGGCAGAGTCGCAGCCTGGGCCGTGGGGTCCCAGCTGGGGGGACAGCCCCGGCTGCACTCCAGGGTCTCCGGGCTCTTATTTGGGGTTTCAAGGCACTGGGCGAAGCCACAGTGCTGTCCTGGTGCTATGAGCTCATAAATGCTGCATCTCCCAGAAGCATTTCTTCCGCCTTTCCTTGAAGTCCTGATGCCCCCCAGCAAAGGTGACACTTGCCCTGACACCCCCTCGTCCCGCAGCCAGCAGCACTACTCGGCCACCAGCACTGCTGTGGTCAAGATGAGGACACTCAGATCAACACCACCGACCTGAGCGTGTCCTGACCACAGCACCCAGCCCTCTGCTTCCCCTGGACAGAAACCTTCGAGGCCACCAAAGCCGACTGAGCACCCAGGAAGAGCCGGGAGGAGAAGAACCTGCGTGCTCCCAGGCAGGGAACAAGGAGAAGAAGACTTCAATGGCCAAACCCAGCCGCAGACCTTACAGAAGGCTCTTCCCCTGCACACCAAACCTGGTCCCAGTGTCAGGGGTTCAGGTGCACCCAGCATCGCTTTGTAACATCCACTCATCTCCGTCAGTGGGAGCGGAGGGGTCTCAGCTGGTGTTAGGAGAGGTGAATCCTGCCCCACTGCCCCGCTCTTGCTGCGTTGCTGTAACCAACTCTTGCTCCCGTGTCGGCATCACTCCAGGCACGTGAGGAGGTGAACCCAGCGCTGTAGGAAAACCAGCAGGCTGGAGGGTGCTTGCACCCAGCAAAGCCTTGGGTTGCAGAAGCACAGCATTGCAAAGTGGTGCCGGTGGGAGACGCTGCCCAGCCCCATCCACCCAGGGTGAAGGTGGCACCGGGACACACGCTGAGTCCTGGCTCTGGTCAGCAGCAACGCAGACGCTGCCCCCTGAGGTAGGATCAGTCATTTGTGAAAAGTACCAAAAGAAAAGGAATTGTAATGGAGAAGAGACAAATGATCAAACGGCCCTAAAGCACGAAGGGAAAGGAAAATCCTTAGGTGCTGGAGGTAGCCCGTAAGAAAACAGCCCTTGAGCCTCGGGGTTGCAGCCCGCATGCAGGGAGGACGTGGTCACTGCCTGGTGGCCAGCGCTGGCGAGCCGAAAGCTGGACTGAGCCCCTGCTGCCCACAGAGCCCCGCGGGCACGGCAGGGGCATCATGCTGAGCACACAACACAGAGCCAAAGCTGGCTTGGAGGAGCAGGCAGGCAGCTGCAGACAAAATGAAAGCGCTGCTGTTTGCCAGCCCGCTAGGGAGCGAGCAGACATCCTGACTGGCCTGGGGACAGAGGAGAAAGCTCAGGAGGTGCGAGCACTGCTGCACGGCTTCTTGTGTGCATGGGGAAGGGGTGCCAGCTGCAGCAACACTGCCGTGCCCCGAGACCTGCCCTGTAGGAAGCTCTTCCCTCCTCTGATGCCTTTGGACATCAGAAGACGCGTTGCAGATCAAGGCCACGTCCCAGTTCCCTTGGTTTTCTGCAGGGAGCTCAAACCTGCAGAATCCTGACCTGGGGAGCCCCGTTTCAGAGAGCCCAGGGCTGGCTGTGACCGCTGGGTGGGCAGCATCACCCGTGTCACCCTGCAGCAACGATGCCCTGGGGAGCTGCAGCAGGAGCTCGGTGCACCCGGGTGCTGCAGGGGGGCACTCGCACACCGAACCCCCCCGGAGCCAGGACCTCGGCTGGGATCAGCAGCCTCTTGCAAAGCAGGGCCATGGGCTGCAGCGCCTGAGCAGCGCTGGGAAATGCTCGGGTAAGATGAGGAGACTCTGGCCTGTATTCAGGGCTAAACCAGCCCAATTTGGGGCAGATCGCTTAGCTGGCCTCGTGCTCCCCTCTGGCATCCCCTCATTGCCTCCTGGGGACCCTGTGCGATGCCCTCCGCAGGTTTTTCTATCACAAACCGCCCCCGCCTCCCTTCACCCCATTGTCATTTCCCACCCTGAGCAGTGCTGGGGCTGGGGCTCTGCCTTCCCCATCTCCCCCAGAGCCTCCAGCCCTTCGCTGGCCCCATACAAATGGGCTGAGAGCCACCAGCAGCAATTTAGGAAGACGGTGCCTGTTGTGTTTCGGGGCAGCTCATCCCTCGTGGGCTCCCTGAGCCGGGCTGTGTGAGAGCAGCTGAGTTTGTGGCGATGAGACCGGGGTGGTGAGGCTGGAGGTCGGGGACCCTGCCCCTGTAACGCCTCCCTGTTTCTCTGTTGTTAGGAAACCAGACTGGCCGAGAAGAAGCAGGAAGCCAAGAGTGGAGAAGAAAAGGGAAAGGAAGCTCCGTCCAAAGACCTGGCCCGGAAACGAGATACAGGAGTGGGGAAAGACTCGAAAAAGGAAGAAAGTGCCCAGAAGACAGACCCAAAGGCTAAAGCTGAGGCTGAGAGCAAAACCAAGGATGGGAAAGCCATCAACGACAAGGTCAAGGCCATGGAGAAAAAGCTGATGGGGAAGGACAAGAAGGAGGAAGAGAAGGATTCAGTGGTAAAGAAGGAGAAGGGGAAGGACAAAAAGGAAGAGGAGAAGGGCTCAGTGTTAAAGAAGGACACGGGGAAGGATAAAAAGGAGGAGGAGAAGGGCTCAGTATTAAAGAAGGATGCAGGGAAGGATAAAAAGGAGGAAGAGAAGGGCTCAACAGCAAAGAAGGAGACAGGGAAGGAAAAGAAGGAAGAAGAAAAGGGTTCGGCATTGAAGAAGGGCGCGGAGAAGGACAAAAAGGAGGAAGAGAAGAGTTCAGCGTCAAAGAAAGAGGCAGAAAAAGACAAAAAGGAAGAAGAGAAGAAAGAAAAAGGCAAAAAAGAAGAAGAGAAGAAAGAAAAAGATAAAAAAGAAGAGAAAAAGAGTTCAGATCTGAAAAAATCAAAGGCAGATGAGAAGGAGGAACCTCAGCCAGAGGCAGAAAAGGCAGCGGAGGAGAAACAGGAGGCCAAGGCGACGGCGGCGGCCGAGAGCAGCCCCTCCAAGCCTGCCACCGGCACCTCCCCAGACCAGGCCAAGGAAGATGAAGCTTCCAGCATCTTCGATGAGCTCATCGAGAAGGTGAAGAACAATGACGCAGAGGTGACCGAAGTCAACGTGAACAACTCGGACTGCATCAACAACGAGACCCTGGTGCGCTTCACCGAGGCCCTGGAGTTCAACACGGTGGTCAAGCTGTTCGCGCTGGCCAACACCCGCGCCGACGACCACGTGGCCTTCGCCATCGCCATCATGCTCAAGTCCAACAAGGTGCTGACGAGCATCAACCTGGACTCCAACCACATCACGGGCAAGGGCATCCTGGCCATTTTCCGGGCGCTGCTGCAGAACAACACGCTGACGGAGCTGCGCTTCCACAACCAGCGGCACATCTGCGGGGGGAAGACGGAGATGGAGATCGCCAAGCTCCTGAAGGAAAACACCACGCTGCTCAAGCTGGGCTACCACTTCGAGCTGGCCGGGCCTCGCATGACGGTCACCAACCTGCTGAGCCGAAACATGGACAAACAGAGGCAGAAACGCCTCCAGGAGCAGAAACTGGCACAGGAACGCGGGGAGAAGAAGGACCTGCTGGAGGTGCCCAAGGTTGGAGCCCCGAAGGGGTCCCCCAAGGGGTCCCCGCAGCCATCCCCCAAGGCTTCCCCCAAAAACTCTCCCAAGAAAGGGGGAGCGCCCGCTGCGCCGCCCCCGCCTCCTCCTCCGCTCGCCCCGCCGCTGATCAACGAGAACCTGAGGAACTCGCTCTCGCCGGCCACGCAGAGGAAAATGGGAGACCGGGCGCTGCCGGTCCAGGAGAAGAACTCGCGGGACCAGCTCCTGGCGGCCATCCGCTCCAGCAACCTCAAACAGCTCAAGAAGGCAAGTGCGGGGCCACGGCAGGGCTAGCGTGGAGGCTGAGATCTGCAGCCACGTCTGTTGTCACCTGGGTGGCGGGGGGTGAGGGCTACCCTCGGGGGGGGACAGCCTGGGGTCTGAGGTTGCAGCCCCCATGCACAGTACGTGGCAGGGGTGGGTCTGTCCCTTCGCAGAGCGCATAGGGTGGGCAGATCCGTCCCTCTGCACCATCCCTTGTGGAGTGCATGGGGCCAGCAGATCCAACCCTTGGCAGAGCCCCTGGGGTGTGCACCTCCTTCCAGTGGCCTGACCTGGCCCAGGGGGTTGGGATGCAGAAAAGGAGCCGGTTTTAACCCGTAAACCTAGGGGGTGGGGATCCAGGACTTCCCCATGCTGAGCGTTAGTGGTGCTCAGCTGCAATGCTGCCAGTGCAGGCAGGATTGTGTGGGCAGCGGGTCCCTGAGGGCAGCAGCTCGCCAGGCTCCTGCACCCCCGGGGCTGGGGGGGACCCCGAGGGGCTGCATCTCCCCCTCATCCCAGCGCCAAGCCCTGAAATTCCTCGCTTTGCCCCAGTGCTTTGTGTCCCTGTGTGGGCTGCCCCGGGGACAGCCATAACCCGGCCAGGTGGGGTGGGTGGCCCTGGAGCTCCAAGCATCCTCAGCAGCACTGGGGCAGGGTCCAGCAGCACTGGGGAGGGGTCGGCACCACCAAGCAGCTCTGCATCAGGTCCTGGAGCCCCTCCAGCAGCCCCTGCCACCTCTCCCAGCTCTGCCCAGTAACGGGGTGTCTTCTCCGGCAGGTGGATTTACCGAAGCTGCTGCAGTAGGGAGCGGGACGGCTTTGCCCCCGCAGCCCGGCGTGGCAGACCCCGGGACTCTCGCCTTCCTCGTGACTCTTGCCATGACGAGCCCTCTGGGACCCTGCAGTGACCGACGCCGAGGAGCAGCGATCTCTCTGGGACTGATGGAGGAAGGGCCGGGCCTGAGAAGGGCCAGCACGGCCGCTCGATGCAGTGTGTGAGGAAGACCTTGTATTTATTGTTATGGTTGCAAAGCCCTCAAGCTCTCTCTTCTGCCAGCACCGTGCCCCGCTCTGTCCGGCCGCTCGGGGATGTCAAGGACCGAGGAAGGGGTAGTGGCTGTCCCCACGTCCCTGCTGCATCCAACCCCACCGCGGGGAAAGGGGGCTCGTGGTGGAAGGGGGGCAGTGCCAGCGGCTGGGGGGTGCAGTGGGGCCGGGGGTCCCCTGGGAGCGCATCGAGGGGCTGATGCCCTCCAGCCCAGTCCAACCTGGAGCGAGCAGATGGACTGCCCCATCCAGGGGACATCTGGGCCGTCGTCACCGCTTGTGTCCCCGCGGGGTCTCTGAGTGGCTGGGAGGGTGATGGGGACATTGGTGGTACACGGGGTCGGAGGTGGTGGAGAGCTGCAGCAGGAGGTGGAGCTGGGGTGGGGGCGTGCACCCAGGGCTGTCCCCAGGACCCCAGGGCTGTCCTGCCCCTGCAGGATGTGGGACCTGACCTCTGCACCCAGACATTTGTCCTTGTGCGGTGATCAAGTGCTCCGTGGGAAGAGCAGGGCTCGTAGGGGGGTCTGCTCCTGGGGTGGGGGGCAGCAGGAGGGGGTGGCAGTGGCCCCCCGTGCTGCCAGCATCACCTGCAGCCCTGCCAGGCAGGGGATGCTGTCTGCCCATGAAGCCCTGACTTGGGGGGGGGGGCAGTGGGTTTTGGGGCCGCTGTGCCCACCCCTGGTGTGAAGCATTGCTCACGATTTGTACAACTGCGGCCACTGCATCAGCAATAAAGCTCACCCAACGCTTCCGTGCGCCTCGGGGACAGGGCTGGGGGGACCGTCACCCCCCAGGAGCCACAGCCACTTCACCCCTGCTGCACACCAAGGTCCTGGGAGGGGGGTCCTGGGGTTGTTTGGATGCAGCTCCCTTCTGGGGCAGCTCTGGCAGCACCCAGAGCCCTGCCATGGGGACACCACAACTGGGACACCCCAAAAAAAACAAAAGGGCACCTCACCCCAAAATTGGGCACCCTGAGGCCACCTGGGCACCCCAAATTGGGCACCCAGCCGCTGTTGGATATCCAGAACCAGGCACCCCCCAGCCACGCAGTCACCCCCAGCTGGGCACCCTGGGGCCACACAGAGCTGTGCCAGGGCTCCTCAGAGGCGGTGATGGCAGCACCCAGCTGAGGCCAGATCTGCAGTGCAGGTGGGCACCGAGATGGGCCCTTGGGGGGGCTCCCTCCTTTCTTGGGGTCCCCCTGGCTGCAGGCTGCGTGGCTGAGTGGCAGGTTCTGGAAACGGGGAGAAATGCCTTTATTTGGGCATTTCACACGAGGACACCCGTGCAGCGCGGGCGGGCGGCCAGCCTGGCTGGGGGGAGGCATGAGGACACAGGGGTGAGGGGGGCCCCACCACCCCCAGCCCCGCTGCTGCCCCCCGGGGTCACACTGCTCATCGGGGACGGGGACGGAGCAGGGGTGTCTGGGGGTGTGGGAGTTTGGGGATGCTTGGCACCCCGCTGGGGGCACCTATGTGTGGGGGCGTGGTACCCAGAGACCCCACGGGACACCGCAAGTGGGTTACCCTGGGGTGAACCCAAATTGGGCACGGTGGGGCACCCCGGAGCCCTCTGGGCACCCAAACCAGGCACCCCGGACCCCTCAGGTCACCCAAACCGGGCGCCTTGGAGCACCCAAACCGGGCACCGTCCTGGAGGCCCCCCGGAGCCCTCTGGGCACCGAATCGGAGCACCGTGGGGCACCCACACCGGCACCTGGGGGGCACCCCAAACCGGTGACCCCGCCACCTCCCCGATCCGTCCACCGGGGGGCTGCCGGCGACCCCCGCCCGCCTCTCCCGTGCGGCTCCCGGCGACCGGCTCCGAGCCCCGGCTGCCGGCAGGGGGCGAGCTCCGGGAGCGGGGCGGCGACTCCCGGCGGCACCGGCAGGCGGAGGGCAGCGGCGGCGGCGGCGGCGGCGGGGGCGGCGGCGGCGGCGGGGGGGGCGACCGCAGCGCACCGGGGGCCGGCGGCAGCCGCAGGGGTCGCGGTGCCGCCGCCCGCCCCGCCCCGCTCCCCCCCCGCTCCGCTCGGTGCCGGGGCGGCGGCGGCGCAGACAAAGGCGGCGGGGGGCGATGGGCGGCGGGGCGGCGGCATGACCGGGAGGCGGCGGCGGCGGCGGCGGCGGGCAGCATGGCGGCGGCGGCGGGCGGCGCGGCGCGGCGGGGGCTGCTGAAACGGAAACCGAACTTCACGCTGCAGGAGATCGAGATCCTGATGAGCGAGGTGCTCCGGTACGAGCCGCTGCTCTTCGGCGCCGCCGCCAGCACCGTGAACGCGTACGAGAAGCAGAAGATCTGGTGGCGCATCACCAACAAGATCAACGCCGCCGGCCGCAACCAGCGCGACATCGGCGAGGTGAAGAACCGCTGGCGGGGGCTGCGCCGCCGAGCCAACGATAAAATCACCCGGCACCGGCAGGAGCGGCAGGGCCCCGCCGCCCGCCCCGCCGTGCGCCCCGGCACCGGCACCGGCACCGGCCCCGCTCCCGGCCCCGGTCCCGGTCCGCCCGAGCTCGGCCCCGGGCCCGCTCCCGGCTGGGGCCTGCGCGCCGCCGCCGGTCTCGACCCGCCCCTGGTCACCGTCGAGGTGGTGACACCGCACGGTGAGCGCACGGGCACCGGGACGGGGGGCGCAGGGTGGGGAGGACGGGGGCAGCGGGATGCGGGACCGGGACCGGGGACCGGGACTGGGGGGTGGGGAGCAGGAGTGGGATGGGGAGAATGGGGACAGGGGGACAGGGGTGTGGGGGACAGGGGGGCAGGACCGGGATGTGGGGCGCTGGGACAGGGGGATGGGGATGTAGGGGGATACGGGACAGCGATGTGGGGGGCAGGGACAGGGGGACAGGGGTGTGGGGCAGCAGGAGCAGGACGTGGGGGCACTGGGAGCAGGACAGGTGCACGGAGGGAGCAGGGCAGGGCCATGGGCACAGGGACCAGGACTGGGACAGTGATGTGGAGCACTGGGGCCAGGACAGGGTCACAGGAGAGGGGACAGGGACCAGGACAGCAAGGCAGCCAGGGACGTGGCAGACAGGAGCAAGGGACGGGGAACCAGGACAGGGAACCAGGACGGTGACAGCAGCACTGAGACCAGGCCAGGGACGTGGGGGACTTGGACCAGGACAGGGAACTGGGACAGGGCCGTGGGGGCACAGGGATGGGGACAGGGACGTGGAATGATGAGGGCATAGACACAGACATGGGGGGACCAGGACCAAGGAAGGGACAAGGGACAGTGTCATAGGGATGGGAGGATACCAGGATCAGGCCAAGGGCACGAGGGACTGGGACCAAGACAAGGACATGGTGGAGCCAGGACGGGGACACAGGAGAGCAGCACGGGGATGGGGACGTGGGCAGGACCAGCACAGGGACGTGGGGGACAAACATCACGACAGGGACACAATGGGATCGGGACAGTGACATGGGAGACAGGACAGGGACATGGGGTCACTGGGACTGGGAGAGAGACAAGGGACATGGATTGGGGTGGGCGAGGGGCACAGGGCTGAGGGCACGCAGAGATGTGGGAAGGAGCAGGACAGGGACCAGGGACACGGAGGGGACCAGCTCCAGGACAGGGTCTCACCACCATAGGGCACCTCCCAGCCTCCTGCCCCAAATCCCGGTGGCACCGCACCCCAGCACTGGGGGCTCCCAAAGGCCACCGTGGGGTGGTGGCAGGACAGGGGACATGCGTCTGCTGGCACCACCGCTCCAGGCAGCCCAGCTGACGTCCACGGGGTGACGGGGAAGCAGCACGGCAGCCCCAGGGGATGTGCCCTGTCCCCAGCGGGTGACAGGGTGTGGGGCTGGGGGTGCCACCAAGGGGTTGACCTGACCACGTTCCCTGCCCGGCCAGGTGTGAAGGAGGAGCCGGTGAAGGAGGAGCCGGTGGAGGTGAAGACGGAGCCTTTCCACGACCCCGCCGACAGCGTCCCAGCGCGGCGGCTGCCCCGTGGCAGCACCCGCCCGCCCGGCGAGGGCTGGAGCCCCCCGCGACCCCCCCAGCCTGACCTCCCCCTGGGCGGCCTGGGCGGGCAGCCGGAGCCGCCGGGCTGCGACTTCCCCAGCATCATCTTCGAGCAGGAGCCCGCACCTCAGTGACTGCAGCCTGGGCGAGCCGGGGGGGGCCCCGGCACTGCGGAGGGGACCCCCGAAAGCGCCCGGCTCAGCCCGGCCGAGCAGCGCCTCATCCAGTGCAACGAGCGGCTGGTGCAGGAGATGCGAGCCTTCCGCCGGGAGTGCGCCGAGAGCCGCCGCGGACCGCCGCCGTCCTGCGCAGCATCGCCCAGGCGCTGGGCGGCCTCAGCGCCAGCCTGGCCCAGATCCGCGAGCGCTACCTCGGGGGCCACCGGCCCCCCAGCCCTGAGCCGGGACGGGCTCCTCCGGCCCCCACGTCTTTGGTTTCTTTTTTGTCCTCCCACTTCAATAAAACTCAGCGCTGGCCCCCGGATCCCTCTCCCTGGGCTCGTTGCAGACGGCTTGCGGGATTTTTTTTGGGGGGCGAAGGGGTGCTGGGACCCAGTGCCCCCCCCCCCCCCAAGATGGGGCAGCGTCCCGTCAGCCAAAGCACCCGCAGCAGGGCAGGATCCGACCACAGGAGGAGGGCGAGCACCGTGCGGCACCGGTGGCTGCCGGGACGTGGCGGTCCCAAATTTAGCCCCCGTGGCGCGCCGGGCCCCCCCTGCACCGCTGCGGGGTGTGAATCACACCGAAAATAGCCGGGTGAATCACTGCCTGCGCCGCCTGCTCCGCGCCGCCGGCTGGAAAGGGAGGCGCGTCCCGGCCCCCGCCACGCAGGGCGGGTGGGGGGATCGGCTGCCCTGGGTTCAGATTCCCAGATTTGCTGCTTTTTTGCCCCAAAATGTCAGCGGGGGTTGTTTTTGCGCCCCGTTTTTGTGCTGGTTCATCCTGGCTGGTTTGGAGGGAAATAAAACGTTGTGGGGGAGGGGCAAAAATAAATCACCTCTTTTTGGATGGAGAAATGCCTGGAGGGAAGAGGGGAACTGACCCTCCAGGCCCCCCCTCCCAAAAAAAAAAAAATTGTGCCCCCCTCCCCTCCCCATTGCTCCTAGGGCAGGGGGCACAGAGCCACCAACACGATACAACACGTGGGGGGGACACAATTTAATGCCACCCGCTTGGGAAGAGCCGAGGGTTCGGGGTGAGCGGGGGTCCCACAGTGCCCCCCCAGTGCCGGCAGGCAGGGGGACCCCCGGCATCGCCCCTCCGTGTGTGGGGCCGCTGGAGCCCGCGGGCACCCACAAAGGTCCCAGTGTGCGGGGCGGGGGCGTGGGGACAAAAGCGGCTCTGTGCTCCTCGTCCCCACGATGGCCGGAAGGGCCAGATCCAACCATCAGCCTCATAGGGTGGTGTCACGGCCTGGGGGGGGGGGGACGACAACGGGGGCCCCCAGGCCATGCTCGCTTGCCACCCATGGGTGCCCCAGGGTGTCACCAGTAGAAGCGGGGTCCCCCAGGGGGCTCAGGCGCCGGGGTAGCTGGGCTGTGCGGGGACGTAGGGCGGTGGTGCTGCGGAGAAAGGGGGGGTCAGTGAGGGTACCCCCAAAAAGTTTGCCGTGCGGTTGTAGGGGGGGTGCAGTGCTCACCTGTGGGGTTGTAGACGGGGGGTCCGGAGGGGTACATCGGGTACTGGGCGGCGGGGCCGACCGGCGGGTACATGGCCATGGGGGTGAAGCCAGGCTGGGGGGGCACGGGCCGGCTTTGGGGTCCACAGGGA